TTCAGCTGCTGATCTCCCACTTTCAGTAATTGGTTTTATTTGGAGCTCATAAATATGCTTTAAGAAGCAAAGAAGGGCACATGAAAGAGGCTCATTGATTACTATTCAAAATGGATTATTTCCCCATATTCTCTGAAAAGCCTGATTTGCAAGCCCATCCCTTACCTGAAACTATGAAAACACCAGCAGTTTTAGGGTAAGCATCTGTAGTGTAAACTTATTTGGGTTTAAGACTAATATGTTTCTACTTTTCTCATACTTTTGGTAGCAGTCTTTGTTCCACTGATGTCCATCTTGAATCAAAGTAAGGATTTTTTATGGTGATGAACATAATTTAAGTCAAGACGTAATTTTAAAAGAAAGTATTTTTCTGTTGTCCCTGATCAAATGTTGAAGAAGATATATTTGTTATGCTAAATTTGGTAGGAATTTATTCAGCAAGGATAGATATTGAAGACACATAAATCTCACTAATTCACAAAAGCACCAGTCTGGCATCATAAATTAATAAAGCAAATTCAAGTGAGTATTAAAATTTGTTCTTTTTTTCAATCAGCATTTGCAAAGAATCTTAACTTGTCTTACTGGCTTGCTAATAGAAGACAAAAGTTTTTGAAAGCACAAGCTGTAAAAATATTTGTAGACACAAAGGAAACAAAAGCAAAGAGACCAATCTGCAAGCCAGTAGGTGCTACAGAGATAAAAAAAAAGATGGAACATTATAAAACACCTTTTCAAAGGTCCTAATGTACGATATTTAAATACAAACAGTAACTAGTGTTACACCAGCTGCTCTCAGGTTTGCAAAATATATCAAAGTACAGCATATTGGAATGGGTCCTGAGTTTCCATTTACTTTATCTATCCAGACACATCAATTCTTTTTACTTCAGCCTGATAAAGTGGAACTGCAGCAGACAAATGAGCTACTGGAGCTGACATAATGTGTTTGTCACAAAGAGGCACTGGATAAAAAAAAAATAAAAAAACCCTATGACTTTGATCCTCAGTGAGGTTACTATTTTACAGTACCATGAATCTAATTCAAACTTGATGCTTGAAGTCACCATTCACTGCTTATGGGTCTAAGGTTTTTTTTTTTTTTTTCCTCAATTCATCCTGCAATCTTTATGCACCCCTAACTGCACCCTTAACAAAAATAAAGAAGAAAAAAAAAGAAAAAAAATAGGAGATCACATGTGAAAGCTGGTTGATGAGTTCTTTGTAACAAGATAAAAACTCCTCTGAGTTGTGGGCCAGAAGAAAGTGAGCTGGCTGAAGACCACTTTACACAATCCTGATTTTAAAGGAAGCTTGATTTGTAATGAAATGATGCCTGATTGCTAGAATAGTATTTGTTTCTAAGCAAAAAATATACATCAAATACATCAGACATAACTTTAAAAGCTTTTCTTTCTTTTCATAAGACAGATAATTTTTAAAGACAAAGGATTTGGTTTTCGTTCCAAATTGACATGAAGCATTTCTTTATTATATCTATTATATCGCTGGGCTTCTTTATCCAAGTAAATTAATTCAACAGTCTTTCTTTAAGCTCAACAGACAAATGAACATAGCATAGGTAGAATCTGCCACTGGTAAACAGACATAGAGAAAATAAAACAATGGGCTCTTGGAAACCAAGCCTTCCAGCAGATGAGCAAACATTGCCTTGAACAATTATAATGGGAAGATTCTTTCTCTGATACCCGGTGCTATAGTAGCAAGGATTTTTTTCTTTTAATTTTGTTTCTTTTTAGTCTCTGTGAATCAGCCCTACAAATGAAGAACTGAATTGTGACGAATGAAAATAGGTATTGTGAGTCCAAATCAATAGATTAATTCCAGTCTGGCCATAAAGCACATGTTAACATAATGGAATTCATGTAGGGAAAGAAACCATATCCCTGCAAGAGATCTCTACACATTAAAATATATCTCTTCAATCAAATGTTGGTTGAAATATATTAAAGAAGTTATAATGTTGTCATATCATAACATCATATTTGTATTCTATAGTGAGTTAATTATTACTCAGTAAAATAATTAAAATAGCCCATGCTCTCTTGAATAATCTGTATTGTATATCTTTTGGAAAAACTGTTAATGACAGACAACAATATTTATGTCATGCATTTCAACCCCTTTTCATAAATCCTAATTTACTAACACACAAATGGCCACCCACTAAACGTTATGGGCATCCAATGTACCAAAGACAAGACTTCCAGCTTATATGGACTGGCCACACTTGAGCCGAGAATAGCAGAGTATGCATGATGAGGTGAATGGTAGCTGCTAGGAAAGGAGAGATGGAAAGGTCCACAGAAACACTACTAACACCTAAGAGAAAAGTGGTTCACATGCTGAGAAGCCCTGACTACCTCACAAGCCATGGATATGAGGTGGCATGGGAAATGTCATAGCTTCCTTGTCTTTCTGCCATGAAAGCCTGGTCAAATTTGGCAAGCTGCGTGGTGGTTTCTTTGATGTTGAATCTGGCCACCTTATCAAATGTGGTAAAACAAATTTTATTTTGCTCTAATTTTGGAAACAAGTATAGATAATGAGAAAAAGAAATCTGAAAGATAGTGCTGAAGCTACACTGTCCGATTTCTGGAGAAGTTTGACCTGTGCAGAGCTTGGTGTCCAACTTCCCTAAGTATACATGAGCAAGGAGATGTCACCATTTTCCGCACAAAGTATTCTCCATCTTTGTGTAGACCGACTCTAAAGACCATGGTGAGATTGAGCAAACCCTATTCAATTTCTACCAGCACCGAAGATGGACATCTATACTAACCCGAGACATAGCCTGTGAGCTGTCTGCTAGCCTGGAAACCATGTTAAAAGATGACCCCAGGCCAGTAAACCAACAATGCATGCTCAATACATGCTCCAGGGCTCCATGTTAATGCCCAACTTTCTGTCTGGTGGAGTGAGCTGTGCCTAGCAATTGGTTACTCCTGGCTTTTCATACAATTTCTCCCCTGTCTCCTCTCTGGAGCAAACAGACCGTGTTGTTAACAGCAACTTTTCTTAAATGAAGCTGCTCTGGGGTGAGCTTCAAAATCTAGCTGGTGGGGCAATAAAATAGATGTTCCTAAAATTTTAACACAAATCTACCAACCTGGCCATCATAAGAATTACTGAATTGTTCTTTCTGTCCTCATGAACATTCATTTTGGTCATGTTAATATTTTTATTAAATACCTGAGAATTGAGGCCAAGGTTGAATATATGACTTTATCAAAGTCATTCAAATAATACATGGTAGAATAAGTGTTTGAACCTGACTACTTTTGTTCTTAGTTTTAGATGTCTACCAGATTTCCCAGCATCTGGTCAAGACTAATTAATGAACACAGTATTGGTGAACCCAAAATCTTGGGCACCTTAGAGAGAATCTGAAAATAACAGAAATGTTACATGAACACATTTTCTCTAATATGGAAATCCTACATTAACAGAAAAGTCATGAGGAAGAAAGAAGGAAGATATGTGGACCTATCAAATAAGAAAACAAAATCTGTGTTCTTTTTAATTTGTATATTCATTGAAAATATAATTAGACTCAGATAGAATTAACAGCCCTACACAAGATAACAGAATGTAAAATTGACTTACCTATCCAAACTCCAAAGTCAGGGAGGTGGGAGATAATACATGCAACACACTTTACTTCACTGTTTTAGAATGGAGTGTGACATCCAGTGGCCTTCTAGAATACTACAGTTCTACTAGGAAATGGAGATTTATCATTAGATTATAATGCTCAAATTGCCAGTTCTCCAAGTAACATTGGGAAATGCTTCTTAGAGTCTGCTCACTGTGGCAGGAGTCCTAAAGATCACATGTTGAATCTTGCAGCAATCAGATTGTGCTGATAGTTGTGATTTGAGTTTATCCGGGCAATTAAATGTAAGATCTATTTTCTACCAGTAGCTCCCAAGTCTATGCTGAGGGAAGATTACAGGGAATAAGTAGTCGAAAAAGCATTTTATCATCCCTGTGTCTGAACTTTATGTTCCCATGTTTCACCTTGCAGGACACAAGCACACCATTGGCTCTAGGGAGGTGTTACTGCTGCCATTTGGGTGGCTTGAGCTAGAAAGCATGGTTCAATCTAGCTGTGGTGTTGCTAATGAGGATGAACTGTGATAAAGACCACTGGTGGTGATAGAACTCAGCAGAAAAGGATAATTGTGCCCTACTTTCAATATCAGGGTGGTGGATCCAAATACCAGGTGCTCTCCATCCCCTCAGGGATTGTCAGGTTCTGTCAGAACTTTCTGTTTTTCCATTTCATAAGACAGAGCCAACACTCCTCCAAGATGATGTTCATTCATGATGATATTCATCTCATTGTTCCACGTATTCTCTTGCAACAAGATCTTTCCAAAATATTGTATGCCTCTAACTTTCGTTTTTTATGTTAAACTTCAGTGGATAATGTGAAAAGCATTGGGAGGCTATCAAAACATATATGGATATAATTTTTGAAGTCTAATAATTTTGAATGAAATGTTGTTTATCAAACCATCGTGACTGATTTCACACTCGATGTGCTTGACTCTATTTAAATGTAGCAAAAGCCCCAGAGGAAAAGTCAAGTTGATGATAATACAAATGATGGCAGACAGTGACATCTTGTGGATAAACTGACCATGAATTTAATATAAGCATAGCTTAGGTGGGCTGCATTATCTTTTAAATTGGTTGTTTAGGATTCTGAATATTGTGTGTATATGAAGATGATAAGATATGTAGAAGTTGATTGCTAGAAGATTACAAAGTTCAAACGCACAAGGGGACTATGGTTACCATTCATAATTCTGGGATTTTAGAGCTCAGAGGCACATTAGCAAATGATTGTAACTCCATCATGTGACAAATGAGGAGACTGAATAAAGAGCCTTACTGACCTCTATAATGATATTGTAAGGTAGGTATATAATGATATCTGACAGACATCTCATATTCACAGCCAGGATCTTTCAGTCATATCCTACTTCCTAATGAACATCACATCCAGGGATATTTTGATAATACATGGTTATATTCCATGAAGAGTGATGCTGCTTTGAGACAAGGGAATTCGGGTTCTCCAGTATAATCATGAGGAGTGTTTCCTCATACTACCCTGAGATTACCTACAAAGTGGAGAGATCCCAGATTTCTCATTATGTCTACTAAAGTTGAGACATTATTTCCAATTCTCCATTACAGTTGATGGGCTCATAAATTGGAAGCTCTAATGCAGGGGAATAAAGAGATTCAATAGAAGCAACTGTAGGTCCTCATGATTTATTGTATTTAATAGGCATCAATTGAGACCTCACCTCACCAGAAATGGCACAAGTTATTTTTACTCCACATTTATTTAGTTCTCCAAGTGTCTCAAATTACATTCTGTAAATAAGACACAACTCCACTCTAAAGACTTGGTCAGTGAACATGAAGAGGGAGGTTTTTTACACTAGTAGTTTCCTGGTCTGATACAAGTAAAACAGGAAACACACATGCTAACAAGCTTCCCTTCAATGCCAACTGGATTATATTTTATTCTTATGCCTTTCTTTTTCCAAATCTCATTGTGTATCTGCTACCTTTGTCCTGACTGTGAATCCATCATTCCTGTCCAAGACTTTGCAGTATTCTGTCTCTCTCTTAAACCATGCTAGCCTTTAACAAGTGGTTTTTACTTTTCTACATAACAGGTCTCTAGGGTCATGCCTTTGCTAATTATCCCAATATTGTAGCTCAATGGGGGCTAGTGTTGCAACTTTTCTGGGTATTTTTATTTAATTCATGTCAACAGTAAGAGTAGGCACATGACTCTTTCTAAAACTGTCGTCTTGGCTAGCTACAGCTTTGTTGAATTTGCCTCATGGTACATTGTCACCCTGTGCCTAAACCTGCTTCTTCCCTTTCCTTATATGACAGACTTTATAGACAGAACAAAAATCAATGGAAGACCATCTATAGTCATATTTAATTCTGGCCATAATTATTTGCCTAAATGCAGCAGCTTGGACACCTGGGACAATATGTCATCTATCTGTGGCCACAGACCATCTATATGCTTTAAATCTCTGTGATTATCATAAAGAGGGCAACATTTGGCATTCATCTGGTTCAGCTGCTGGCTCACATTGCAGGTAAATCCAGGTTCTCTGTCCTCTATATTTAGCTGTAACCTACTCTTTATGGATCTTGGGTGCTGTTTAAGCTGCTATTAGCTCTTACCTTAATGCCCATCGTGATGCATTGTGATATCCATTCATCAAATGCTGCGACTCTGCACTTTTTAATGCTGCTATTACTTGATCATTAATCCAAAATTATAGCCAGCTAATTCCAGCACGGGGGTCCTTTTAACTTTAAAACCTGGCGCAGGCATCCTCTCCCTGACTCTGGCTCATTCGGTCTGAATCGTTTTTAAGTCAGATATCCCATTGACTTAATGCACTGTGCCATTTGACCTCAGATATTCACCGAAAGAGCCTGACTTCACACCACCTGGTGAAGTGCAATGAGACTGGATTTCATATAGGCCTTTCCATTGTCCTCTTCCACCACCCCAGCATCACCCACAAGCTCTCCTTTCACTGACATTTCCCTTCTGTCATCATTAAAAGATATATTTTCCTCATCTGACAGACTCATGAGGGATGATGAGATTGTTATTTGCCTAATAAAATTCATTGGAAAGCATATGGTTCTGATTTGCTTTGCTTCATTTTTAACTAATGAAGAATATTTACACGGAGCATCTGCGCCCTCTACTGGCTGAATTGGTTGAATTTCTTTACTGCCTTTTCTACTCATTAGTATGCACAGCTGAGCAAGATCAAGGGCTTCATTGGTGCAAAGGCAGAATTAGGTAAGATCTTATGGAAAGGAGAACTTTACATGCAAACAGCAGAAGTAAATTTCCACTGCTAAGAAACAGGCAATCAAAGAATAGATAATAGATAAGCTGATGTTTTTCGAGAAAAATAAGAAGAAAACAAATATCCTCTTATAAAGGGACAAGTCAGGGATGGTAGCTGGTTCTAGCATATGTTGATGTAAAGTAGAAAATAGCTTTACTGAGCTAGAGACATATCTCAGCTCCAGTGTGCCTGCCTAGTTTGCATGAAAGCTTGCTTTTTTGTGTGTTTGTTTTTCACCATGCACTGTATAAAACCCAGTGTAGTAGCACATGGTTATAATCTTAGCTCTTGGGAGGAAGAGGCAGGAGGATCACAAAAAGTTCAAAATCAGCTGTGTGGTGATGGCTCACGCCTTTAATCCCAGCACTCGGGAGGCGGAGGCAGGTGGATCTCAATGAGTTCGAGCCCAGCCTGGTCTACAAGAGCTAGTTCCAGGACAGCCTCCAAAGCCACAGAGAAAGCCTGTCTCAAAAAACCAAAGAGAAGCTCAAAATCATCTTCACCTTCATAGTGGATACAGTAGCATCCTTGGTTATATGAGACACTGTAGGAAGAAAGAAAGAGAGAGAGGGAGGGAGGGGGGAATGAAGGAAGGAAGGGAGAAAGAAGAGAGAGAAAATGACTAAATGGATAAATGCAGTTATCACTTGGATCACGTGCTTACCTTTTGTTCTTCAGTGCAACAAAATTTTAACCCCTGAACAAAGATAGCCCATGAATTGCACACAGTAAGTAGCTTCTATGAATAAATTGTATATCTGTTAAGTAGGGCTGCTTGGCTCTTCCAGTAAGCTGAGATCTTTCCTCAGATACATCTACCGACAGAAAAACAATAAAAGGAAGAAAATGAAGCAATGCTTAGACACATAAAAATATCTGACTTTGATATGAACAGAGTGGGTAATATGACAATATGTTGCAGGGCATTGGTGCTGCACACCTTTAATCCCAGAACTCGGGAGGCAGAGGCAGGCAGATCTCTGTGAGTTCAAGGCCAGCTTGGTCTCCAGAGCGAGTGCCAAGATAGGCTCCAAAGCTACACAGAAAAACCCTGTCTCAAACAACCAAAAAAAAAAAAGACAATATGTTGTTGGAAAGACACTTCAGAAACTACAGGGAGAAAAAAATGAAGTTTCTTACTAGGCAAAGAATGAGTTTCAAGTTGAGGGTGTATCTCTAAAGCTCTGTGGTGAGAGAATATCGTCTCATTTAGTTGGTGATCCCTCCATTTTATGTTCCATAGTCAGATGTTAAATAATCACATTCTTCTTTCTACATTAGGTTTTTTTGTTTATTTGTCTGGAAATTTCCAGAAGTTCCCATCCTAGCACATGCTTGGGATCAGAGAACAAGACTTCTTCAGCCTTACTTACTCCAGTAGTTTTTATTCAGTGTCTCTATCCATGACTTAAAATATTCAGTTAGATTTTATTATTAGCTGTAATAACAAAATAATGTTTTGAGAAGAAGTTCCATTATAGCACAGGACCCAGGACCCATTTACTGTATGATGGAGTACAATTCTCAATGGCAGGTGGCTGAAAAGGCTGTTGTGCTATCATCCCTGTCAATGGATGATTTTGAAAGCTGTGCTTTGTAATGTCGTAAGCATGTGTTTGGATATTGTTCCGAGCTCTACTTCATACTTACTACACAGCTTGGCTGCATAGTGATAGTAGTCCTCCTGTATATCACAAGTATATGAACAGTAAGACACAGAGCATGGGGAAGAAGGAATGTTAATTTTCAGCTATTAAAATTATTCTCAAAGCCTATATTCACACTTCAATCATATCTGAGTATTATTCAGCACAAGATCAGGAGATACACATGCCACTTTTGATAATTACAAGACATTAAATTATTTACTTGAACAATAGTTGTGATTTCAAGTAAAAAACAAACCACTTATTTCCACTATTTCCCCATTGTTTGGTTACTTGTACAGTATTGCAAGGTCAAATTTAAATCACACTGACTGGTAATATTAATTCCAAAAATCTGAAGATGTCTTTGAAGAAAAGCAAATTGCCGAGTAGCTAACAGTACTTGACAATCACAAACTCCAGGGGAACCTTACTGAAGGCTCTACCTTTCAGTGACTGAGACAATAATGCAGATGACAGTAACCTACTTCAATAAGAAATGTCATCAAAAGATCATTTGAAGTATCTGCTCATGGACTAGAAAGGTGGCTCAATGGATAATTGAGATGATTGCTGTGTAAGCCTGAAGACCCGAGTTTGATTCCTGGAACTCACATGAAGGTATAAGGAGAGAACCAACTCAAAAGAAATCATTATAGAAATCATTATAGAACTAAACTTGGCTGCTATGACATGTTTATGCCATACATGTGTACAGACAGCAATAATGTGTTGTTCCTAAAAAGTCAGTCCTTTTATATCACATTGTTTATATTAATAGCTTTACTTATTCCCATATAAATATAATGTTTCAAAGAGCATTGCATGAAGTATAATATCCTACTAACATAAAAAGCCTATGACTTTATATAAGAAAATTATCACCAAATTACCCCCATAAATATTCTGGGACTAGATTAAGAGCATTTCCTGTTCTATCCTCTCTCTGTCATACCACAGTGTTTTGCTCAAGAGACAAAGGAGTATTTTAAACAGATAGGGAACCAGGGACCTTTAAAATAGTTTTTCTACTCAGTGTTGGGCAGGGGCAGGGGGCTGTTGAGGGTACTCTATTGGCAAATCAATAAATATAAATGCTCAGTGAATTTCTCAGTTAAACTGCCTTTGCTACCAAAGTAAATACACAGCAAGGAAAGCTTTGTGGGGTGGATGGGAATGTACAGAGCTGCCAAGAGGAGGAAATAAAAGCTGGAATAACTGTTTTTATGTTGGCTAGAAGTGACTTGCTTGGACATCTTCCTGATTCTGTCATGATGGGGATTTGCACTGGATTTGGGATTGACAAGTTGTGGGATGATTTTCAGTGCCTCTATTTCCATCAGCAGATTATTTCTTAGTGTGCCAATATTTATTTGGCTGCTGGAGGAATTTCTTGTAACTGCTTGTCTCTGTTTGATGCTTATCAGGGAGGATTTGGACCAGTCTTATACTTGTGAGATGCAGGAGAGTAACTTTCATCTTTCTGCCCCAGACAAGCCATCACAGGTTGTTTTCTGGGTGGCTCATTGCATGGGTTTCTCTTCTTCATACTGTCTCCTTTATGGCAGCTGAGATAGAACCTGCAAAAGAAACTCAAAAGATTATTTGAAGACATCAATGTTCTCTAATATTGAGGTATTTTACTGTTCAAACCTCACAATCTTGGAGGGGGAGAGTGGTGTCATGCTTTTGACATGTTTAACCCATTTGAGGTTGAATGAGATCACACTGGAAATGGCCTACACAACTTGCCCCAGATTATTAGTAGACAATATTATAAAGAACTATGACTTGGGGGTTTGTTCCTTCCACTAATACAGAGTTAGAACATTGGTTGCTTTTGGTAGAAATGCTCAATTCCATGTAATGTGTTCACATAATGGATATAAAACTACTGTTATTCCTGCTAGAATTCAGGAGTGTCCATCCACACTGTGCTTGCTATTTGCTGCTTATTACATGAGATGTATGAGCTGTCCACTCTGCTAAGGAGGCCCCTGATGCTTGCTGTTTATTAAATATATCACCCTGAAGCTAAGTGTCAATAACCATAAACCAAGATGGTGTTGTCATTATAATCCAATGTAGGTGCCCTCCACAGTCTGACATTCCATTGAAGAGCATAAAAACTAAATCACTTCAAGGTTTAGTTGGTGATAAGAGGGTAATGGTAAGAGACCAGGTTTAAATACCATCTGTATATAAAAGTCAAAGACATGAGATTAAAGCACATTATCTTACAGAAGCATTTCACTCATCCACAGATCTTGGGGAAACAGTTACTCATATTCACATTAGACAGGACACTTGGATGCTGTCAGAAAGTATAATTTCAGAGACCTTGTAGCTAAAAGTGTATACTTCAGGGAGAAAGGACACACTCTGGTCTATTTGTCAAAGCTTGATTACTTTCATTAGAATTTGGTTTCCCTGTTTTCAATGGTCTTCAATAGCAACTGCCTAGTCAAACAAGGAAAGAAGCTTCTACATTTCCAAAGGCTTAGGTGGTACTTACAAAGCAGTCCTTTGGGTTTTAACATAATAACACACCATTTTGAATTGTTGCTGAGGTTGAGAGAGAATGGTCCAATGCCAAGTTCAAGTTAAGCACTGTTCATAAAAGGTAGCTGCAGCTAGTGTTTTGCTTGTATATTCACTGGGAATGAAATTAAAAAAATAATGGTTAAAAATTAAGGTGACAAGTTATTAATAATTTACTTTTTCAATAATGTTAATCATAAAATTGAAACATAAGCACACACATGTGCAAACATATACATATAAAAACAGTTCTGCTGTTACAATAAATATTTCTGCCAAAGGCCGCCCGAGCCCCACCGTCACGTGTGAGTTTTACGCAAGCTGCCTGCCCGAGTTAGGGCCCAAATGAATACACAGAAACTTGTATTAGGTTCAAAGCTGCTTGGCCAATGACTAGGATTCTCATCTGTTAGCTCAGTCTTAACTATCATACATCTATATATTTTATAAGACTTATCTTATCGGACTCCTTATTGGCGTCCCTCCTTGTCGGTGGATCACATCATGCTGCTGGAGAAGGAGTGGAGGGGAAAAGAGAAGGCCTTCCTGTTTCTCCTTCGCTTAAATATTAGACTCCTTGCTATGTCACTTCCTGCCTGGATCATCACTTCTCTACTACATTTCCCAGAATCCTCTTTGACAACTAGTCCCGTCTACTTGCTGTCTCATTGACCAAACAGTATTTTATTTAACAATCAATAAGATAAACATACACATTACATTCCCCATCATTCTGCCTTTTCAATTTCACATGCACACCCATGTTAACACACATGTTTGTATATACACACACACAGGTACTTGTGCTTATCATAGATCATACAAGAAAATTTCCTATTGGTTGCCCCTCAAAGTATGAAATGTGGGGTTGATTAAATACATATTTGAATTGAAAGTAATTGAAGTCAGGGTCTAACTATCAATAGAGATTGCTTACAGATATGGAAAATAGGAGATTAAAATAAAATTTGTGATGTTATTTGGTCATTAAATAACATTAATCCTTTAAATTCATTTAAGTTTAGGTAAATATAAGTTTAATGAAAATATAACAGGTTGAAGGCATGGATAAAAGATACAGTAGTAAGCACTACATCAAGCAACCAGGATGTCAAAAAGCTAATAATCAATATACCTTTGCTACACTCAAATGCTCAACCACTTTAAATACAAGATTACTTGGCAAGAGGCAACAATATATGGCCCTTATTACTAATAAAGATGTGAAGAATGTGGCTGACATATGAGACAATCCTGGGCTCACAGTGTCTGTACATAACAATGGAGGGGTTTCTTACTTAGTATAAACCAGGCAGGATGCCTCTAGACTTGACAACCCCTAGGTGACGGTAACAGGTAGATGAACTTACTGAGAACGGGTGGAATGGGGAAGGGGGAGGGGAGATGTTTTAGCTATGCCACATTCCTTGTCTCACAATCCTGAAGAGGAATGAGAGAACCAGAGTTATTCACCTGATAGAAGCCACTCCCTCCCTCCACCAAGGTTACACAGAGTACAGGAAAAGGAATCCAAGCATGGGAGAGTAGAGGCATCTCTGAAAACAATTAGATGGCTTTCCTTTCTGGTACTGGGAAAAAGCTGAAGTTAGCTACTTCATTGTGTATTTGTGTAATGGGGAGAAACTTAGTTTCTATTGAAACCCTCACATTTCTTCTCTAATTCTTGACATCTGAATTAGAGAAGATGGAGAGAACTTTAGAAAGAAAATTAACACAAGCATACTGAGATAGCCAGTAAAGCTTAATAGGTGAGACAACCCAACACATTTAGCAGTTTAGCAGATCTCTCTCTCTCTCCCTCTTTTTCTCTCTCCCTCTCTCTCTCTCCCTTTCTCTCTCTCTCCTTCCCTTTCTTTCTCTCCCTCCCTTTCTCTCTCTCTCTCCCTTTCTCTCTCTCCTTCCCTTTCTCTCCCTCCCTTTCTCTCTCTCTCTCCCTTTCTCTCTCTCCTTCCCTTTCTCTCCCTCCCTTTCTCTCTCTCTCTCTCCCTCCCCCCCTCTCTCTCTCTCTCACATGCGCGCGCGCGCGCACACGCGTGTGTGTGTGTGTGTGTGTGTGTGTGTGTGTGTGTGTGTGTGTGTGTGTGTGTGCAAATGTGAGTATGTAAATGTGGAGGCCAGAGGCAGATGTTCTGTGTCTCCTGGATCATTCTCTGTCTTATCCTTCTGAGAGAAGATTTAGTACTGAACAGAGCTCACTGGTTCTACTAGATTGGCTTGCATAGAACTTCCCCTGATCCCATTACTGGTTACAGATGCCTGTCCCCACATTACACTTTTATGTGATGTCAGGAATCCAAACTCAGATCCTCATCCCTGCATGGCAGGCATTTTATTAACTGGGAGATCTGCACAGACCATCTTTTTCAGTTCTTTAGAAATGTATTTTATTGTCTAAAATTTACTGTAAGGACCTTTAAATATCTAAGGCAGAGCCTTTACCCTAGAAGTTCCATGAATTTAAAACAAATTGTCTAGTCAGGAAATAAGCATGTCAACAAAGCCACTTGTCAAATACAGACATTGCTAATTAAACTAAGGAATACATTCACTGTGAGCCTTTAGTTTAATCCATTTGATTTAACAAATAAGGGATTTGAATAATGAATAAAGAAATCAGAAACTTCATATCATTTTGATATCCTATTTATTTAATGTTGATAATAATCTGATAATCATTCTTGAAATTTAAAAACATCTTGAATCAAATTTCTCCTTAATATTCTCCCTGGCACTTTTGCCAGTGACTATATTGTAACCATGAGCATATCTCCATTGAAAATGGCTTTCACCTCTCTTTGAGTCAAGTTTAGAGAATTTGCATGGTGACTCTTTCAGAAGCACTGGTGCAATCCTGCCAAAGATCTTCCTATAACTATATCTTTCACTGACTTTTATGTAATAAAGATAGTTATAAAAAGCATATTGAAAGGAAATCAATGGATTATTTTTCACCATTGAAAAAAAACTCCTTCACAGAGAAAACTTAATAATCATCCTTTTTTAGCTCTTTCTTCCTTTCCATATGAGTCCATGCATTTCAATTGTTAGTCAAAGCTGAGGTTAGCAGAGATAGAAAGAAATGACTAGCAATAACTTTGCTTCCCTCAAGTACATCGAATTTCCTTTGTTAAAATCTAAGCTTTGTGCTGGAAAAAAAAAAGAGAAGGGAATTTTGGATTTGCATTTTTCATTTATATAAATTGGTTACAATAGTTCTTTACAGGGAATAAGCACTCCTTCCTATTCTGAGGAATGATGCATCTATATGTTTAGCTTGTGTCATTTATTCTAATTTCCAACTACATATTTTATTTTATACAACAGAGGGCATATTAATTCTCCTCTAAAACTGTTATAATTGGTTCATGGATTACCAAAGCAGAATGAGGGAATGGCTAGAGGAAGAAACTGAATGGATTTCAAGAGACAGGGCATGAAAGGACAGTTGAGGAGGGGAACAAATGAGAACAATATGCAATGGCACATAGAGTAAAGGTACTTTGATAATGCTCACTTTATGTGTGCTAACCCAAAGCAAGAATAAAAGGCAGAATTTTTCTGGGCTGGAGAGGTGGCTCAGTGGGTAGGAGCATGTACTGCACAAGCTTAAAGTACTGAGTTTGAATACCTGCACACCCACAAAAAAAGCTGAGCATGGTCATGTAAACTTTAAACCTTGGTGCTTTGGGGATCAGAAGAAGGATTACTGGTTTCGCTTATTTCTATCTGTGGTGGATTGAAAGAAAATGGCCCCAAAAGGAATGGCATTGATAGAAAGTATGACTTTATTGGAGAAGTTATGGTTTGTTGGAGGAAGTGTGTAAATACAAAGGTGAGCTTTGAGGTCTCAAGCCATGCCCAGTGAGACAGTTTACTTCCTGTCAACTGTGGGTCAAGCCGTAGGACTCTCAGCCCCTTCTCTAGCACTATGGCTGCATATATGCCACCATGTCGCACCATGATGATAATGGACTAAACCTCTAAAATTGTAAGCCACATCATTAAATGTTTTCCTTTATAAGAGTTGTTATGGTCACGTTTCTCTTCATAGCAATAGAAACCCTAACTAAGACACTAGCTTAGTATCAGATTCAATGAGGGACACTGGCCCCAAAGTATAAAAGAGTGATGAATCAAGATGCAGGATGCCATCCTCTGGCCTTTGCATCCACACAAGTATCCACAGGTCATGAACATACACCGCACACTCACACACACCTGACACTCACACACACACATATGCCCACCCAGCCAAACACACAAATTATTGCTGTTGAAGACCAAAATCTAACTAAAAGTGAATAATTGTAACAGAATGTGGTAGCATACACCTTTAATTCTAGCATGTGGAAGATAAATGCAGACAGATCTCTCTGTGTTCAAACACAGAGTGAGTTCCAAGAGAATGAGATCTATGTAGTAAAATCCCTGTCTTGGAAAAAAACAAAAATAAGCAAATAAAAAAAATCCCAAAATGTTCTATGAGTTGTGTCATACATTTTGAGCTAGCTGGATAGATTCTTTTTACTATACTAAACAAAAAAATGTTTTATATTCAGATTCTCAAAAGCAACAGAGACATTTTTGCCATTTTCTTTGAACCCTAATCTTATCATATTGCATTTACATTGGTCACTTAAATGAACTATCTGTATCTTCTCCAGAAAAAAACAGCATGTTAAATATTTAAAATCACATATTCCTCCTACAGTAAGTAATAAGTGATCTGGGAACTCTTACAAAACTGTCCTTTGTTCTTGTTTATGCACAAGCTTGTAGCTTTCCAAGTTAGTGGTGAATGGATTGGAACTACATTCTGTTTGTGGCATATTCAGCTACCAAAACTCTTTGATGTATATTTGTTTAGTGACAGAGTTACTATTATATTTCCCTTAACTTGGAGTTGTTATTCTGGCTCTATGTGCCATCAACACCTTAGGAGTTTGTAGATTAGGAGTCTACCTCAGGAGAGACACCTGCAACACCATTTCTTCCCAGATATTCACAATCTGTATTCACCAAGTCTGATGAACATGTCAGCATGGTCCTAGTGGACCAATGTTATGATCTGCACAGTGTTGAGCTCCTAAAAGTCACAGTACCATGGCAAGTGTGAGAAAGGGAATTTACATGGTTCTGAGTGTAACTTTCTATCTTTCTTGAAGAAAGGAATAATTAATTCACTGGCTAGTAGCACATGAAGTATGTAAACCATGATGATTAGCATTTATGATCAATGGCAGTGAGGGCAACTTCCTGCATTAGTTGACAGATGCTATGTTCCACCTGTGTGACTTTCTTTCAAGAGTTCTGATGGGAGTAGTATGTGAAGACATTGTAAGGCTCACAACCCCAGACCCATCTATTCTTTTTGGACACCGCCAGTCTCTGCATCACAT